TCTTCACTTCTCTAGAGTCCAGTGGCGGCACGCTTTACACCACTGCATTCGACGCTTTGCATTGCACTTGGTGATGTAAGGCTTGGATGCAGCTGCTCGGCCATGGCAGCCCCATTGAATGAAGCTCTCTGCGCACTGTTGTTGTGCCAATCTGAAGGCCACACGAAGTTTGGAGGTCTGTAGCTACTGACTCTGCAGACAGTTGGCGACTTCTGCGCACTGCACACTTCAGCATGCGCTGACCCCGCTCTGTCATTTTACATGGCCTACCACTTCCTGGCAGATTTGCGGTTGATCCCAGTTGCTTCCACATTGTTATAATGCCACTAACAGGTGACCGTGGAAAATTTGGTAGCAAGGACATTTCACAGAACACCTGAATCCAATGATTTGGAGGGGTGTCCCAATACTTTTGGCAATATAGTGTATGTTAATTTAATAAACCAGAACTTTACTGATTTGTTATCCATCCCGCAAATGTCACATTTAAAAAGGGACTCTAAAGTCTATTTGATGTTTCTTATATAGTACAATTCAAAGTGATCACATTGATTTCAATAATGTTATGTAAAAGGTCTATTGACATTTTAAAAGAGCCTGTTTCCATGTTTAGTTTGTTATTATACTGTACATGTAAATGGGTATATCTTTGCTTAATACATAAGAAGGCGGTGCTTCCTGATCTGTAATGCTGCACAATGGTTGTGCCTTACTGTTCCTGTGTCTCAATACAAGTCTACCTCATTCAGGTCTCATTGAGAAAAATATCCCAGCTATGTGGCTGACATCCTAATCTTAAAAGTTGCTCATTGAAAGTGATTGCAGTGAAGCACAGGCAGCCACTAGTAGTATCTACCAATCCCTATTCATCTCTATGAAGCGTGTAACCTAAAATTGAATACAGGTTTTTTTTTTGTGTGAGCTTTACTGGCCCTTTAAATTGCCGTTCCTGCATTTCTATCAGTGTGTTTACAACAGGGAGACATGACTGCACTACACGATTGTAAGCCTCCATACATTTCACAGTGTTGTAGGAATGATCAAGACTGTGGTTTGGTTATGTGGATCAGGTACGGTTCTGACGACAGTATAGGGGAACAATATATGCAGATATCCAGCTTTGATATAGCTCTTTTTTTTCTGTTGAAAAGGGAACGCGCGATGTTCAAAGTGAAATAAAAATATATAGGCTGAATATTTTCCTACAAACGTAAGTAGCGGGCCTCCATTTCTGTTTTTCTTTCCTCGCAGTGACTTTTATATGGAAATGTAATGAGCGGAGGGTGAATATTTCCATGTGGATCATTGCAGGAAGACGTAGACACAATAGGATGCGAGGCTACTATGCAGCTGTTCTCCCTGCCATATAGTGCTGCAGGCAGGAACTGTTCTGTCATGTCTCTTTCCTCCGGGAGCATCTTCCAATCAGGAAGTGCCAGCCCCATGTGACCCCGGGTCACACACAATATACCTTCTCAATAGGGCTACTCTGTGCTCTGATCAGCGCTGCTCGTGTCCTAGAGGCAAACTAATGTTACCAGAAATAGAAGCAGGGAGCAATGGCGCTACAATATTTTAGTTTAATTAAAGAGCTGTCCTAGGCAACACGTGAAACCTGCAAGCATGAGATGCTGTCAGGATACATATCAATTCTGCTAAAGTCACAACATCCACTCCGTGAACCTTAAAATGGACCTTTACAGAAATCCCCCTTTCATAAATCCTGACTACCCTGATAAGAGAAAAATAATAAAAAGTGTCAGGAAATGGGGTTGGAGGTGTTGGCACAGATCAAAATTATTCTGAGCCTTATATAAATGTAAGCCCGTTCACGCCTTTGTGATGTGACAGGGGTGCATTGTGGCACGCGGAGGTAGGACAGCTCATAAATTTGAACGCACATTTTTTTACAAACTGCATCACCCCACATTCCATGGTAATAGGTTATGATATGAGGTGGTGCGATACAACACATAGTGAGGAAAATAAGGATTTGATCCCCTGCAGATTTTGTAAGTTGCCCGCTTACAAAGAAATGAAAGGTCTATAAGTTTTATCATAGGTGTATTTTAAAAGGTCTTTCATTTTTTATCATAGGTGTTATTTAAACGGCAGAGACTATCAACCAAAAATCCAGAAAAAAATCCACGATACAAATTTTATAAATTGAGTTGCAGTTCAGTGAGTAACTTGTCAACTTGATTCCATGCAGACTGGTGTGCCCTGACCCCCTCCCTACACTATCCAACATGTAGACGGTTCTCCTTCTAGTTCCCATAAGGAGGAGTCTGCCCCTATACATTTATAACCTGCATGTCTTGCAATGTCCCTCCATAGTGTGGCTGCCGCACTTGGGAGTCTCTTTCCCCTTGCTTTGGCTGGATAGCAGGTTGCTCTTTCCTTCACCCCAATCTCCCCCATAGTCTTAAGATGGCAGCATGGGCTAGCATGCTGGCAGATCTGAAGTCAAGTGAGTGACCTCTGCTTTCCTGAACAAACCATTTTGTCCAATTAGAATCCAAACTAAAATAGATGCAACAGTCTACTATTACCAACATTTTTTTCTATTTACTGGCTGTCAGTAGCTGAACTAGTAAAAAAAAAACAAAAAAAACATCCATTATCAGGAACTCTGGTGGGCAACTGAAAAAGTCCCCATTGTTTTTTTATTTGGGTGGGAACCAACCAGAACAGGACTGGGGACATTTGGCCCGGTAGGCAACACAAACAACCAGCCATTTTATGATAGGAACAGTTTCCTTTGAGCTAAAGAAAGTATACCACATGAAGATTGCCATAGTGCCACAGTGACTGGTGGGCCAAGGTGGGTATTAAAGATCATGGTTTATTGCAACATACCTTTCACACATATATGAAAAAAATGGTTGCATTTAGAGAAATAATTATTGATTTTCTTCGAGCTGAACAAATAACTGCTCCTCTGTGAAAATTATGTGGAGTCACCTAAATAACATACTAAATCAGATCTGAAAGTGGGGAGCATCTCCAATCAGGACCACCAACTCAACATACACTATATTGCCAAAAGTATTGGGACGCCTGCCTTTACACGCACATGGACATTAATGGCATCCCTAGTCCGTAGGGTTCAATATCGAGTTGGCTCACCCTTTGCAGCTATAACAGCTTCAACTCTTCTGGGAAGGAGTCCACAAGGTTTAGGAGTGTGTCTATGGGAATGTTTGACCATTCTTCCAGAAGCGCATTTGTGAGGTCAGGTACTGATGTTGGACGCGAAGGCCGGGCTCGCAGTCTCCGCTCTAATTCATCCTAAAGGTGTGCTCTCAGGTTGAGGTCAGGACTCTGTGCAGGCCAGTCAAGTTCCTCCACCCCAAACTCGCTCATCCATGTCTTTATGGACCTTGAGTTGTGCACTGGAGTGCAGTCATGTTGGAACAGGAAGGGACAATCCCCAAACTGTTCCCACAAAGTTGGGAGCATGCAATTGTCCAAAATGTCTTGTATGCTGATGCCTTAAGAGTTCCCTTCACTGGAACTAAGGGGCCAAGTCCAACCCCTGAAATACAACCCCAAACCATAATCCCCCCTCCACAAAACTTTACACTTGGCACAATGCAGTGAGGCAAGTACCGTTCTCCTGGCAACCACCAAACCCAGACACATCCATCGGATTGCCAGACAGAGAAGCGTGATTCGTCACTCCACAGAACACATCTCCACTTCTCTAGAGTCCAGTGGCGGCGTGCTTTACACCACTGCATCTGACACTTTGCACTTGGTGATGTAAGGCTTGGATGCAGCTGCTCGGCCATGGAAACCCATTCCATGAAGCTCTCTGCGCACTGTTGTTGTGCCAATCTGAAGGCCACACGAAGTTTGGGAGTCTGTAGCTATTGACTCCGCATACAGTTGGCGACTTCTGCACACTGTGTGCCTCAACATGCGCTGACCCCGCTCTGTCATTTTACGTGGCCTACCACTTTGTGGCTGAGTTGCTGTTGTTCCCAGTTGCTTTCTCTTTGTTATAATACCACTAACAGTTGACCGTGGAATTTTTAGTAGCAAGGAAGTTTCACAGATGGACTTATTGCACAGGTGGCAACCTGTCACGGTTGAATTCACTGAGCTCCTGAGAGCGACCCATTCTTTCAGGAATGTTTGTAGAAGCGTCTGCATGCCGAGGTGCGTGATTTTATACCCCTCTGGCCATGGAGGTGATTGGAACACCTGAATCCAATGATTTGGAGGGGTGTCCCAATACTTTTGGCAATATAGTGTATATTACTTGTACTGGCCCAGGAGAATCTCTTCCTGCCTTTCAGGTCAGTCTTCCCCAGCACATGTACCTGTGCTGCCAAGACACATAAATGTGTTACATTACATAAGTGGGAAAATGCTCCAGAAAAGGTAGCTTTCCTACAACCTTGCAAAAATTATGTTACATGGCCATTTTGGTTGTACAGATTGCTTAGCAGAGTTTGAAAGCTGATTTATGATAGCTGCCATTGCCTGCTGCATATTTTTGAAGGATACCTGTAGTTTCAGGCCAAATGCCCCCCCAGCCTACAGTAGGCAATGTTCCTCCAAGGTGCAGGACTCTTGATTTAGCACTCCCTGGACAACCTGTAGATAATGCAGTGTTTACAATCTCTACCCCTCTGTATTCAATTCATAGGCACTGAAAGTGTAATATTGGAGGGAACCCAGGGGTGAGTTTGTATCGTGCAGGTCACTGGTCAATCAACTCAATGGCATTGCACCATAAGAGGCAGAGCCTTTCTGAGTGTTTTGATAGGCTTTAGATGTCTTTTATGGATAAATAAGACCCAACACAGGTCCTCAACAAGCCAGAAGCAGTAAGTCACTTTACTGCTGAAGGCAAAACAGTTTAACACATGCACATACAATGCACTGGATACAAAAAAAGCAGTAGGATAGTATAGCCCCCATTTATCAAAGTTTCTTATTTGCAATGACAGAATAGTGGGATTGACAGGAAAAAAAAAAGTCGACCTCACCTGTGTTATAAACAGGATACATTCCAGGAACATATAATCCTTGTAATGCTCATTCACAATCTTCTCGTCCACAAAGTGCCTGGGCTCCAACGTAGAATGGTCTGCAAGATATTGGCTAGAAGTGAACTTATGTTTTACAACCTGCCTTCTACCAGGCAGCCCTGAAAACAACAAATGTACATACCCTGCACATGTAAAAGATGACACATGCATTTGTTAGGCTGAATACTAAAGGAACAAATAGATTCAGTGGTTAGAGACCTGTTGGGTTCTCGTACAAGAACTGTGCTCAAGATGTTCAAATGCAGGACCTTCCATTCCACTGTGGCTGCTATGAGACTGTATTACAGCACAACTTTAGCCTAACCACTAAATACACTGATGATATGCATATATGTAAGCTAGTTTACCAACACAAGGATCTATAATTCTGTTTAGACAGTCTTTTGATTCCCATGGCCCTGCCACACTATACAGCCAGTGATTGAGAAAAAGATCAGAGGATGTCATAGCAGATCTCCTTAGGAAAATGCTATTTGCCTGTTTCTGGTTTCGATACTTTGAGTCACAAAGCTAGAAAAAACATGCAGCTAGTAAAGGCAAGAGGAAAATCACCACACCTGATCCGCATACCAGCTCAGTGACTTAAGGTATTGAAACCTTTAAAAGGAGAACTATGGGGTCAGGGCTTTTCCCCATAGTTCTCCTCAGGGTCAAGGGAGGACATAAACTAGCGTCCTCCCGTGACCCAAAGCTCAGTATACCGCGAGCTACAGCTCGCGGGATACTGAGACCACCGCAGCCGGGACGGACATTACTCTTGAGATTCACCCAGCTGTGTGATTGACAGCTGGCTCTGCCTATCTAGAGGCAGAGCCAGCTGAACCCGCCCACTCCCCCGTCCGTTCCTCCAGTCAGTGCTGGAGGATCGGACAGGGGGGGGAATCCCTGCAGGGAGCCGTGACCGATAGTCACGGCTCTCTACAGGGACAGGATCGAGAAGTGAGCGAGAACTGTCATACATTGGCTCAATAGATTGGGAAGTGAGCGAACACATACCGTTGCTCGCTCACTTCTCGATCATCTACCTGCAGAGAGCGGTGACTGCCAGTCACCGGTCCCCACAGGGATTCCCCCACTCCCTGCTCCTCCAGCGCTGACTGGAGGAACGGACGGGGAGGGGGCGGGTTTAGCTGGCCCTGCCTCTAGATAGGCAGAGCCAGCTGTCATTCACGCAGCTGGGTGGATCTCGACAGCACACGTCCCGGCTGCGGCGCTCTCAGTATATACTGAGCTTTGGGTCACGGGAGGATGCTAGTATATGTCCTCCTGTGATCCTTAGGAGAACTATGGGGACAAACATGGGGACAAACACCCACCCCATAGTTCTCTTTTAACTCAACATAACAGCCAGGAAACAGGAATTTCTAAAAGATAGAGCTCAGAAATGGCAAATTACATATTTTTATAGTATATGTTTCGTAATGGCTGCCTTCACCAAGCCGCCTTCACCAAGCAACCCCCCCCCCCGGGTACCTGTAGCTTGTCAGAATTATAGCACTGTGCAGTGCAATAGGCACCAAGTATCTCGTGGCACTATCCCTCCCACCCTAGCCTGATTTCTAGTGTGAAGAAATTATGGGGGGGGATTAATATGAAGATATATGCTGAAGTTCCACTTTAAGGGCTGCGATGTGTGAAAGAGAGAAAACAACTGTCCTAAAAAAACATTGATTTTTACCTACAAGCTGAGCGCTGCCCCATATAAAGGGAAGAAACTGGAAGTCATCGAGGCCCCAGACCCCTTGGCTGCCAGCTGGCTCCATTCTATAGGTTTTCTGCAGCTTTCGCATAACTTCAAGGTAACTGCAAGTATAAAGAAGAACAGAGAGAGAGAAGAAATCAAAGTAATTCATGGACAATGGTGGCATTCATGAAACAATTGCTACAAGCTACCAAAGAAGGCTTTACTGATGACTTGCGGTCAGGTGGTCAGGCACAGGGCGACAGTGAATAGGCCCAAATATTGGACCTCCAGATCTTTCTTGTAATCATGCCCTTAGAAGGTTCCTCTTTATTCAAAACTTATATTCGCTGTGTATTAGTCAAACCCTTTGCGGATTGTAGTAAAGATCACCAACAAACCTCTACCCCATCTAGAGAGGAAAACACTAAATGTGGTTGTCCAAATGTTCCAGTCTATCTGACCCCCAGTACAGTCATATTATCTCAATCAATTAGGTGTACTATTTTTTGGCATAGAAACACGTCTATAATACTGAAAGGTTTATTATGATATTACTAGTTTACCCTTAAAGGGTATCTAAACCCAATAACAAAAAAGTAATATATTGCAGCTTACCAGTCTTTAGATCTAGTGGCTGCATTAGCTTTCTTTATCTCTGAATATTGTCTTTATTCTCACCTTGTAATTCTGCAGATAGCATACTTCCTGGTCCTAGGGTGTCAAGGATCACTCACTTCAGTTGCCATGGTTGCCTCTCATTACATGGGGGGGCGGGGGAATTTGTAGTATACAGAAAATAGCGCGGAAGGAAGATAACATTGTTTGTGATTTCCGTTCAACTCACAGGAAGTTACATGGACCAGGCATTTCTATCAAGATCAACAGATATTTTTTGTACTTGCTGAAAATGTTCTTAGCATGAAAAATTAAAACTAATTCAGCCACCACGCCAAAGGACTGGTAAGCTTCAATATATAAAATAGGGATCACCGATATATTGGCCGCCGACACATATCGGCCAAAAATGGCACTTTTGGCTAAATGCTGAAAGTGCCATTTTCTGCCGATACAGCGGTGCATCCCTGGTTTCTCTCCTCCCCGCTGGGCACTGCTCTGTGTCCCAGCGGGGAGAAGAGAAAGTGTTACAGGCGGCCGAGTGCTGTTGGAGGTGAGCGCTGTGAGCGGCCGGCGTCTCTCCTCCCACACCGCTCAGCCTCCTATTACAGATCGGGGGATCGGTGTGGGCGGAGACAGCCAGCGCTGTCACAGGAGGCTGAGCCCTCCTCCCTGCACCACTCGCTCAGCCTCCTGTGACAGCGGTCAGGCCGGAGAGCGGTACAAACACTCAGTGATCAGTGATCGCTGAGTGTTTGTAAATAATTGAGGACAGAGTATGTTTACCATATTCTCAATTATGAATGAATAATTGTGGTTATAGTAAACACACTATGTCCTCATGTTATGAATGAACAGGTAACACTCAGTATAGAGGAATCCTGTTCATTTATAACAGGGGACACAGAAAAAGAGATTGAGGACTCTGTGTTCTCAATCTCTTTTTCTATTTTAAAAGGGAAATATCAGGGGTCTGTTTAGACCCCTAATATTTCCCCAAAGCCAATAAAAGTAAAGTAAAAAATTAAAATATTTAATAAAATAAATATAAAATATTTTAAAAATGTATAAAAAAAATGGAAAAAAATTAAAATAAAAAACATTTTCGGTTTCGGCCTGACAATTTTTTTCTATTTCAGTTGCGTTTTGAAAATTCCAATTCGGTGCAGCTCTAATATAAAATGTTGTTCTTGGGTCTATGGAGAGAGTTTCTTTGTATGGACAATTTTCCTGGGAGTTGCTAAGAGGAACAAAGGACATCCATAAGGAAGAAGTTAGAAATAAAAGTATTGAATGCAGTTTGACCCATTTTCTAAGATAAGGGTCATCAAAGGGGTGGTTCTCATCAGATCAGAGATATATGAAGTGGTGGGAGCACTTTTGGGAACACTGATTCGAAGTCTATAGGACACAGTGGAAATGTTAATTTTAGGACTTATATGTACTGACTATTACACACACATTTGACAGGATCTAATTTTGGCACACTGGTTATATTTTTCTGTATAAAGATGTATGGGATTTGTATTTTTTGGAACATTGCATGAATTTAAATTAAATTTTTTTAAAGCATGGTTACATTATACACTGGCTGGCCAAAAAAAGGTCACCACCTGGATTTTGTGCTATAATCTGGGGTTGCTTCAGTTGGTCAGGTCTTGGTTCAGCAATGTTATGTCCCCAATTTATGAGATCAGCTGCCTAATTAAATATACTGAATTACCAGGTTTTTCCATCAATGGATTGTTTTCTTCCCTGATGGCACCGCTATATTCCAAGATGACAATGCCAGGATTCATTGGGCTTAAATTATGAAAGAGTGGTTCAGGGAGCAGGGACATCATTTACACACATGGATTGGCCACCACAGAGTCCAGACCTTAATCCCATTGAGAATCTATAGGATGAGCTGGAGAAGACTTTACCCAGTGGTCCGACTCTCCCATCATCACCACAAGATCTTTAATGAAAAATTAATGCAACTCCAGATGGAAATAAATGTTGTGACTAGGGATGCACCGATACCGGTATTTTGGTACCGAGTACGAGTACCGATAATTTTTTTTCGGTACTCGCCAATACCAATTACCGAGTAACGGAAGTCCCATTCAGGAAGCCGGGCAGCGTGTAAAGACTCGCCACCTGGCTTCCCGATTAACAAGAAAGTCTGTCCCCTCTTACCTTGGTATGTCCAGCCTGTCACCCCCAGGGACTCTCCAGCCAGAACGCGGTCTTCCTCCGGTACCCAGCCGTAGCTGCCTGGCCGGCCAATCAGGAAGCGGGCGCCGTGTAATGACGCGACGCCCTGCTACCTGATTGGCCGGGAGGCTGGCTCCATGCTCCCTCATCATGAGATGACGAGGGAGCATGAAGCCAGCTTCCCGGCCAATCAGAATGGCGGGCGCTGCGTCATTATACGTTGCCCGACTTCCTGATTGGCCAGCTTCCCGACCAATCAGGAAGCGCGTCATTACACGCTGCCTGGCTTCCTGATTGGCCGGAAAGTCCGCTCCATGATCTCTCTTCACAAGTGATGAAAGAGCATGGGGCCGCTGCTCGGCCAATCAGGAAACCGGGCAGCGTGTAATGACGCGCTGCCCGGCTTCCTGATACAGAAAGTACTCGTGCTAGAAATCGGAGCATTTGGGCGAGTACGAGTACTCGACCCAAATACTCAGTATCGGCACCGATATCGATACTAGTATTGGTGCATCCCTAGTTGTGACAATGCATAACCAGATCGAAATGATGCCATGGTGAATGAGTGCCGTAATCAAAGCTAAAGGAGGTCCAACGAAATATTAGAGTGTGTGACTTTTTTTTTGCCAGGCAGTGTATAGATAGATGTAATAAGGGTGGGTTCAGCATTTAGCACAATCACTGAATGCTTCTGGTTGGCATACAGCGTACATACAGTACCTCCCAAATTTATGAGATGAGACAGAGGGACACCTTCCAGCACAATGTATTTAGGCAATGTTTTATTAATTTATATGGGAAAAATTAGAGGTGCACCGAAATGAAACCGAAAATAAAAAAAATGTCAGGCCAAAACAATTTTTTTTCCAACCTTTTCACAACCTTTTCAAATGTTTTAAAATATTTTATTTTTATGAAATATTTTTATTGTTTTACTGTTGAGGTTTTCGGGGAAATATTAGGGGTCTAAACAGATCCCTGATATTTCCCTTTTAAAATAGAAAAAGAGATTGAAGACACGAGGTCTTCAATCTGTTTTTCTGCAGCTCCTTTTATCAATGAACAGGAATCCTCTATAGTGAGTGTTCCTGTTCATTCATAACTCGTGGAGATAGTATGTTTACCATGTCCAGAATCATGAATGAACAGGAAATGATGTAGATCACTTCATATTCATAGTTGGGGACATAATTGAGGACATAGTATGTTTACTAACACTCAGCGATTATTGATCGCCAAGTCCTTGGACCTACTCTCCATTCTGTCTCGCTGTCACAGGAGGCTGAGCAAGAGGTGCGGGGTGGAGAGCTCATCTCCTCTGACAGCTGAATCACCGGCCCGGTCTCCTGTGACAGCTGTCTCGCCCCCACACCGCTCTCCTAATCTGTTACAGGAGGGAGGAGAGACGCCAGCCACTCACATCTCTCCCCTCCCGCTGTGACAGTTTCCCCCACTGGACGCTGCGCTGTGACAGTCCCCCCCCACTGGACGCTGCGCTGTGTCAGAGGCGACACAGAACAGCGCCCAGCGGGTAGGAGAGAAACCAGGGATGTACCGTAATTTCGGCCGAAAGATGGCATCCCTACCAAAAATGATTGGTTAATCCCAAAATTGTTTTTTTTTATTCACCAATATTTTTCACTTATACTTATTTTTTAAATAGCTAACAAGACAATTAAGGGATACGAGAAAGGTTTTAGTGCAGAATAACACGTTTGTTAGGTAAATAGAACCTTTTCATTGATTTCTGTACATCAGAGAGTAAAGAGTGACAACTTAGATGGAAAGAGGGGCACAGGGATTAGGTTCCAAATGAAGGACAGTTGGGAGGTATGTGCATACTCCCTGGAATCTAGCATTGGTTGTGCTTGTATGCCCCTGTGTCTTGTATTCCTTGTGCAAGCATCCTACTGGTTTAAACTATTTTTTGCTCCTTTATATCCACATACATACATACATACATACATACATACATATGCACATTTTATGTGAGGGAAAACAAAGACATATGAAGGGCCAAACAGTTTCTAATTAGTGTGGTCCACCCAAAACAGAAGCAGGTCAGCCTAAAAGAGATACAGCTCAGCCTAGAAGAAGCAGCATATGCATCAAGGGAACAATTTACATTTCAACTGTACATGGACAGATATGTATTCCTAAAGTATATATACACATGTTCCAGAGGAAGCAGCAAACGTGTCCATTAAATGTAGCAATTGGTGTTCAGCAGTTACAAAAAAACATCCTTGCTATAGTACCAAATTAGGCTTTAGTTCCTGGGCAGATTGCTGGTAGCTAGAAGAAGCACTATATGGCGCCTGTCAAATTGAGAAAGTCATGATGCTTCCTGCATTATAAGAGCACTTCTGCCCCAATCAGCCAGGGGTTAGCCCAGTATGCACCTGAGAGGTGAACATAGTAATTATTTTCCATAGCTACTAGCATTTGTGTCTGGCTGGCCCAGGCATGCCACTTGGTAAGAGTGCTATTGGGCCATATGCTTAAAAGAGAACTATGGCGTAAGTGGTTTTTCCCATAGTTCACTTAAGGGTCACGGGAGGACATATACTAGCAACAGCCTCCCCCCTTCCTTCCTCCCAAGGGGCAGCATTTGCGGCCTCGGTTTCCAATAACCAATCTTCATCGCTCTTTTAAGAGGTGGGGACAGCAAGGATAAGCATATTTAAATTTTGACTTTTTCAGAAAGTCAACTCTTACAAAGAGCTTCAGGGGGAATAGGGGCTCTGCAGGGACATTAGGGTGGTGGAGGAATTAAAAGAGAACTATGGGGTAAGTGTTTTTCCCCATAGTTCTCCTAAGGGTCACCGGAGGACATATACTAGCGTCCTCCCGTGAACCAAAGCTCAGTATATCGCGAGCTACAGCTCGCGGTATACTGAGACCGCCGCAGCCGGGACGGATCCCGACAATGCTGTCGAGATCCACCCAGCTGCGTGAGTGACAGCTGGCTCTGCCTATCTAGAGGCAGAGCCAGCTGTGCCCGCCCCCTCCCCTGTCCGTTCCTCCAGTCAACATTGGAGGATCGGAGAGGGGAGGGGGGAATCCCTGTGGGGAGCCGTGACTGACAGTCACCTCTCTCTGCAGGGACAGGATCGAGAGAAGTGAGTGAGCAACGGTATGTGTTCGCTCACTTCCCGATCTATTGAGCCGACCTGTGACAGTTTCATTGTCACACGTCGGCTTGAAATATGAGGATGAGTGATTTTCACTCACCTCATAGTTCTCCTTTAAATGTTAAAGGTTAGTAGAGGCAACAGTTTGTGTTGAATGATGCACTAGATGGCACAGATGCCAAAGGGTGGTCAGATTGTGCCTGCATGTCCCAGCACCGTTTGGTATTTAGGCCAGCTTCTGGTCATCCAGAAATTCATTAAGAACAAGAGGCATTAGGAGGTTTTGCCCGGTGCTTGTTTAGACTGCCATCCAGTTAAGGAGTGCCAAGACCTTTAGGGTTTGTGTTGACGGGCATTAGTTTGCATCAGACGTGTTTTGCATTCCCATACAAGTCTACAGTAATGCAAAACCCGCTTGAAGCAGGTCAAATAGAGAAGTAGGTCAACTGCAGGTCAAATGCTCCTGTCAGTGAATTCAGAATGATCTCAGAAGCTTCTTATCTGATGTAAAAATGATGCCATTCACCAGCCCATCAACACAAGACTTAGCCACATGTCGTCCCAAATATGTCTATGGTTAATGTATTATAAAAGGAAGTGACCATACCCATTTCTCTTTAGATCACTGAACAACTGCAGAGTTTTTTCATCAGGAATCATTAATAATCAACTACTCATTATTGGTTTCCCATTAATCCCTTCAATGCCCAACTCTTATAATTCAGGCCTGACGATGGCATAATTTGCCAATTCTGGGTCACATATGGTAAGTGTACCATTGAAAAATACTGTTCTGTACAAGCATCCCCTTTAATTCATTCTTACCGATCGAAGATTTTGAAGACCATGGCGAGCTGATCATCCACCTGGAGAACACCGATTTTACACAAACAGAACAAGAAGGCGGCAAATGCAGCTTCATGTCCTACAAAGAAAGAGAAATTACTGCGTTACTCCAGCACATCATCAAACTGACCCCCGCAAAGAAAGAGAAATGACTGCGTTACTCCAGCACATCATCAAATTGACCCCAACATATTAAATTATTCTAATTACAGCAACCTGGCTTATTCAGCAAGGTCTCATTCACACGAGTGGCTTCTGAGAGCCATTTTTTGTTTTTTTGCACGTCTGCTCCACCGCAATCTCATTTCCTTTGACTAGCAGAGGCCTAAATGAAGACTGTGATTGCCACGTTTATACAATGCGCCTTTAAAAAAAAGGGCCTACAATAATCAGTGATGCAAAATACACCCGTGTAACTGCAGCCGGCGTCTTGTGTTCATGCCGGAGCTACTTCCCAGCATCTGTTCCTCGTTTAGGGGGAAGAGAATCGCAGACTAAGCACTACTGAAGAGCTTGTGCGAACAAACCTTAGGCAGAGGAAAAACAATTTATTGTTATTCATTTACATGGCTACAGCGTATTGCATAGAGAGCAATCACATCAGATCTGGTCACCAAAAGAGCTTGCAATCTAATGTCCTTCTACAGTCATATAGACACAGATACTATCCCCAATAAAAAATGGAATCCAATTAACCCATCAGTATGTGTCTGGGGTGTGGGAGATCACACACAGATATGTGGAGGTTAGAAAACTGCCTATGGCATTCCTTGTGGAAACTGAGTTTACAATCCCACTGCTGCCAGGCAAGCTATCATGCTGTTTCGTAATCAGATTATAGTTTACTGTATTCAGATCTGTAATACGAAATCTGGTTTCTTTGGGTTAGTGAAGTGTATGTGCCATCATTGCTCTTTGCATAGCCTTACTGAATTAGCTAGGTGGGCTCCAAAGTCTCTCACAAACAGAAATTCTTTTGTTAAATATCCCATTTCATTCTCTGTACTGGCAGCTGAGGGGCGAGATCTTCAGTGGATGCTAAGCGTTCATGCTGTATTATTATTATACAGGATTTATATAGTGCCAACAGTTTGCGCAGCGCTTTACAATATAAGGAAGACATTATAATTACAATACAATTCAAGACAAGATGGTAAGGAGGGCCCTGCCCCTGAGGGCTTACAATCTAAAAGGTAACATCTCTTAACAAACTGGGGCTTAAAAGCTCAGCAGAACTGCAAGTCCCAGTGTGCCCAGTCAGCTTCTTTGGTTAGATGATCGCAGGCTGCCCAGCAGTATACTGGCTAATTTAATCTGTGGCAGCTTCATTATCATTCTAGTGGCATGCATGCTCTCTGCCAGGGTGTATGTAAAACAGATGACTGCAGTATGGCTGCAATATACCCAGAATCCACCGCATGAAGCGTGTCCCTGTCATCTACCACCTTTCCTGCCTACCCAGTTTCCTTCCCATCTCTGCTCCCACCCCAGACTTCCCATTCCTGTAACTCAAATAGCTTCCAATGGCTGTTTAACTCCTTCTGCAACAGCTTTCTCCTAATTCTAAGAGTAAGGTTACCCCACAGCCAGATAGAAGCAGCCTTTAAAATATGTGCCAGTACAAGTACATTGTGCGTTTGCCTTATAATGGCAATGCACATAAAAATCTGATCATCCTTAAATTAACTGACAAATATATAGTGCCATGGCCTACCTGATGAGATCCATACTCAGTGAGTGGTTTAGGTGAATTTCTATACCTTGCCATACATGTTCAAATCTGACTATACAATTTGTATGCAAACCTCACTAGATTTACCGAAAACACGTGAGGACCCTCCTAAACAATTCATTCTTTTTATATTGAACCAGGCAAACCTTTGTGCCATATAGTTTTTTTTTTAGTTATTGAGAGAGCTAAAAGAGACTGTACAATCCGCTTGTAATGTGTAGGTGAACTTTAAAGTGACCCTGTCCGTAAAACCCATTTGAAAACCTCTCCTGGTGTCCGCACCTCCCATCTGTGCTATAGACCAGGGCTTCTTAAACTGTGGGTTGAGACCTCATATGGGATCACGCAAGTGAATGGGGGGGAGGGGTTGAGATCCGAATCCTAGGCCAGGGCCGCCATCATTGGGGTACGGCCAGTAGTTGTGTGAGGGGCCCAGGCGACTGTGGAGGCCCGGGCTCTAAGCAAGATTTTTATTAGGGGAGAAGGAGGGGAAAGACACCGACTGATGCTGGGGGGGTAAGGAGGAGGAGAGAGACGCCGACGCTGGGGTCACATAAAAATTTCCTCGGCCGAAAAGGGGTCAAGGGGTCACCAGTGAAAAAAGTTTAAGAAGGCCTGCTGTAGACAAGTGAAAGTGATGGTTGACAAAGCTGCAGAATCCAACACTTCCAGGAGTGTCCGATTCCTGGTCCTGAGGGCCCCGATATCGCTGCCGTGTACTGGTGTGATGTTGGGGTCAGCAGGAGCAACCGCTGAGAGGGAACCAAAAATCTCTCACTACCAAAAGTGTTGAATTCTGCAGCTTCTTCAACCGGCGCTCTCTCTTGATTACAACAGAGACTGGTGGAGCCGGCACCAGGAGAGGTATTTGGTGTCTGCTTTACAGGGGGGCTCTTTTGTTTTCACATGGATTTTACATTGCAAGACGTGTGGCCAGCTTTAGAACAATTGTGTGGATTTGAATAAAGCGCCGTCCACAGTCACCAGAAACTGCTGACCTGGAACAATTGTGCATAATATGTATGCAGGATTACATGTCATTTACAGCGTTTCCAGTCCCTGGAAGTGTTTGAACAATTAATATTAATAATTATTATTATACAGGATTTATATAGCTCCAACAGTCTGTGCAGGGATTTACAATATAAGGAAGACAATACAGTTTTCCTTGAGCCCCGGTTCACACCTAGGCGGCACCGTTCTTGCGCGTTTGTACGCACGTTGGCAGCATGCAGTTATTTGCGTGTTTATGCGCATTGTGCACATTTGTATCTGTGTTTTAACGCACGTACATGAACTGGGAACTCATTAACCATTGTGGGCAATGGAAGAACGCGCGTATAAATGAGCAAAAACACTCACGAAAATGTGCAACATGCTTCTGTTGCATGTTTTTGGGCATTTCCAATGAAGCCTATAGGGAGGAAAAGCGCTTTTAACTGCCCAATGAAGCTCCTGTATCTTTTCAGGCGTCTGGCGTTTTCCTGATCAGGTGTGAACCAGGGCCATTGAAAATCATGGGATTTCTTGTGTTGGGCAGTTAAAAGCGCTTTTCGAACTGCTCAAAAACACCTAGATGTGAACCAGGGCTAATGAGGAGGGCCCTACCCATGAGAGCTTACAATCTAAAAGCTGCATTTGTATTGTGTAAATATATTAACCTGAGCTTTCCAGTGCTATCGGAACCACTGAATGCAAACTGCAACAATATAAAGCAAAAATCTGCCATAGATCCATGCCAAACTAGCGATTCCCTCACTGGTAACAAATCACCAGCAACAGAATATTTGAGACTGAATTTATCCTACACCCAAAGCCTCAAGGCAATGCTTCACTGCTGCCCTCTCGCCAGCAATTGAGATTTTACAGCAGGGGTAGGCAGCCTCGGCATGCCAGCTGTGGTGAAACTACAAAATCCCATCATGCCTCTGGAAGTCATGCCTGTGGCTGTGAGAGTCTTGCAATGCCTCAAGGGATTTGTAGTTTTACCACCGCTGGAGTGCCAAGGTTGCCAATACCTGTCCTGCAGCATTTCAGCCTGCAAAGGAGCGAATGTTTGGGAAAGTAGCATTTTAGGGATTTGGGCAATGGTGTGTTTTCTCTAGCCAATGCAACATGACCTTCATTAAGGGTCCATTTAGACTATGGATAGCGTTCACATCTGTACATTGCTGTGTCATTGATAAAGATACTAGGCGTTCGCTGAATGGCTGCTGTGACAGCAGAGCGGCAGTACAGGACCTGGAAGATTGCTGTAAAGCACTGTAGTAGCACCAGCTACTACTACGGCCCCTGTCGCCCTTCCAGGTATAAAATATGTATAATTATATTGGTCCAGCTTGGCCCGGTGTAAGTATACATACATATTTATACCTGGAGTTCAGCTTTAAACTCTTTAACATGAATGTGTTCGAGCCTTGGGAAGTACATAAACTGTTTTGTTCTACCAAAAGGGACAGTTGCTTTTCTAAAACTGCACTGAGTAATGTGCTCAGTGTCATGCAAATGACGCTTACTAACTTCTCAGATTTACAGCTCAGTAGAGATCTTACAAGGTCTACAGAGTCCGGAAATGTTCACTGGCAGAGTGGTGAAAATGCCAAGTGTGAGCTGAAGTATTTGCTAGAGGCGCGTACACTAAACCTGCTAACTGTAATGACAGTAAAACCTGTCTTGCACTGGTGGAACAGCATTCTCAAAAGGCCAGGAGAGCTTGTTTAACACTTTACAGATTTCTTCTTGTCTCAAAGGCTGCGACACCGCACCAGGCTTAGTGAGGGATCAGTGATAAAGGCCAGTGCAAGATAGAATGGTCATCTTTTAAGAACTGATCGGTGGACAGCAGACAGCATTACTACCAGCCCAATCTGCCTACAGTTTTCCCCCAACGTCTATAACAGTGGGCAGAGCCAAGAGGGCATGACAAGTGTATAGGATCCTGATAAGGATGAAAGATAGATAACTAAATATAATGACCAGTTCACCCTAGATCTTTGGTTCTCAACTGGTGGGTCGTGACCCCCATGTTCGGTGGATTCGCCACATGCCTTCCACTTTTCTAGGTGGGACACTCCTCAGCCTCCCCCTAGCGCAGCACTGTCAGTTCTCGCCCCGAGCAGCCATTTAAAGTATGCTGCCCGGCTCTGCCTGTTAGCTTGAGGTGGGGTGGGCTGGAAGTATGGCCATAAGGGAGCTCCATCCATGCGTGCATTGCTTACAGCTCTCACATGTGCCCTGTAGAGGCTGACATCACATTCTAGCTCATGGCACCTCTACAGGGGCACACAAGGGAGCTGTACAAGCAATGCTCGTATGGATAGAGCTCCATCACAGCAGCCCAAACTGGA